CTTTTGCTTTTGTCCATTAATTTCCCTCATCACTATATCATGGCTGACCATGGAGGATCTAGCACACCTCTTGCTAAGTTTATTTATAGACATTTGACATTTTGTGATGTTAGTGTAAGTGGCACAATTAATTTCATTTTAAAAGTGCTATCTCTGCTAACTTAGAGACAGGGACTACCTTTATATCCAGCAACTTTGCTGAGTCCTTTTGTTATTTCCAAAGGGTTTTAGAGTCTTCTGGGCTTTTTATATAGTCAGTCATTTTGACTTGATTAATGATAACTTAATATTCTTAGCTTATCTTTATAACTTATTTTTTCTAACCTTATTGTCCCAGGTATTCATTTCCTGTAGTATAGATAAGGTATATTGAGTCTTATCTTGATCCCAGTCTTAGTAGGAAATTGTAAAAACTCAGTATGTCACCAATAAGTACATTCTTTACTATATATTTTAAAGCTCTAAAAACAAGGCTAAGGAAATTTCCTTTGTTTATTATGCTGCATTCTTTATAAAACTACAGATGAGTGTTGACTATTGAGGAGGAAGTGCTTTTTTCCCCCAATCTGTTATAAATGTAGCCTTTAATGGCTGAGCCATCTCTCAAGCTTGTTTTTTCCAAATCTGTTAAGGTGATGTTACAGTTTTTCTTTTGTTTCCTCTAATGAGGCATATATCCTTAATTGACTATTTAAATGCTAGATCAAGACCATGTTCCTGAAGTGAAAAACCACTTGTTAATGTTGTTAATGATCTGAACCTTTTAAACATATCATAACATTGTATTTGTGGTGTGTTTGTGTGTGTGTGTGTGTGTGTGTGTGTGTGTGTGTGTGTTGGGAATTTAAAATCTATACTCTGTCCCTATTTTGATATATAATTTTTAAATTACCAAGTTTCATTTAGATCATAAATTTAAACATTTATCTCCTTTCAATTTTGTTACAGCTTCATTCAGTAAGCTTTTTTATTTAATCCAAGGACTTTAGGTGTGTTTCCTATTTAATCGAAGGACTCTAGATTTGTTCCAAGGACTTTAGATATGTTTCCTATTTATTCTAAGGATTTTAGATGTGTGTTTAATTTTAATCTAAGGACGTTAGCTGTATATTTCTCTTTAATCTATGGACTTCAGATGAGTGTTTCCCAGTTAAGCTAAGGACTTTAGATGTTTATTTCCTGTTAATCCAAGGATTTTAGATGTGTACTTCCTGTTTAATCTTAGGACTTTAGATGTGTGTTTTCTGTTTATTCCAAGGAATTTAGATGTATGTTTCCTAATTTCTTAGATGTTGGAGGTTTCTTATCCCCTTCTCCTATCATTTTTTATTTATTTTATTTTTTAACTTTTTATTGATTTATCATGCATCCTAATCTCATTCATCTTCCCGTCCCTTTGTATCTGCCCTCTGTCCTTACACTCCCCAACACAAAATAAAAGAAAATTTAAAAGAAAAACTCATTGTGGAATCTGTAGTGTGGTTCAGTGAGTCACACAGTATACCCTTTCGTCCATACATCTTTACTTGCAAGTGTTCATTTCAATGAGTAATTAGTCTGGCTTGATGCCTCTGGCTTCTGCCTTAATACAGGGACTCTTCCTGGATATCTTGTTGTTGCCCAGTGTAGTGCAGATCCTGCAGCTTTGCAGCTGCAGGACTGGTCCTTCACATACTTCAGTAGTTCATAGATGAGGTAGGTGTTGGGTTGGTCTATCTCATAGCCCTGGTTCAGGGCCTTGGTGGTAGTGGGGTTGGTTAGCCCACCAGTTTTCCATCACCACCACCACCACCAAGGAAAGCTCTCCAGAATTGCCCAAGTTAGCTTACCTCAATGCAGCAGGCAGCAAAAGGGTGGGGCCAGTCCTGCTCTCAAGTCTTGGGGTGGGGGTGGGGGCGCTCATTCTCACCTACACCACCTTTCTATCCTTCTTGGTTTTAATGTCTAGTTTACTTGCTTTGTAGCCAAAGAATGTGTTCTCAACATTTTGATTCTTGAACTCATTGAAACTTGTCTATTACCTTGTGTATGGTCAGCTTTGATAAATGGTTCATGAGTTTGAAAATAATGTGAATTTTGTCATTATAGGGTCCATTAATGGCAATTTGTCAATTTGGGTTATTATGTTGTGTTTATTTTCTCCATCCTTACTGATTTTGATGTCTGTATGTTCTGGTGATATTGAGTGATCATGAACCCCATGATTGAGCATGTTTAGTTCTGTTTTTTCTCTCTCTCTCTCTCACACACACACATGCACATTTGATGCACACACATTTAAAATTGTCATGTTTCTGATAGCTTGATTTCATCTATATCTTAATAGTGATACCTGCCTCAAAGCCTGTTTCATCTGATTTGAGTATACCCACACCAGCAATATTTTGGCAAGTGCTTGTCTGATAGATCTTTGTTTTTTGAATTTTTACTTGTAGAAAGTGGCCATGCCATGCCATGAATGTAGAGGTCAGGAGGAAACTCAGGAGCCAACTTTCTTCTTACCACTGTGATTGTGATTAAACTCAGGTCATCAGGCTTGCACCTTCACCTGCTAAGGCATCCCACTGGCTCTGCACATAGAACTCTACCTAACTTTCTCATATTAAGATTCTACATTCAAAACAGCTGGACAAAGCAACCTTACAGCCAGAATTTCTGCATCTTCTTAGAATCCCCCATGACAGCGCCCCTTACCAGCAGGAAGTAGTTTGGAAAGAACGACGCCCAAATTCCCAAATATTTTCTATAAATGTTTGTTTTCATTGAAATGGACTTGGTTATAATATATATATATATATATGTATATATATATATATATATATATATGTGTGTGTGTGTGTGTATATATATATATGAAACCCAAGGATATTTGGAGAGCAGTATTTTTTTTTAATCCAGTCAGATAAGCCATTTTCAACTGAACTATTTTACTGTTACACTTAATGCAACTGTGTTTGCATTTTATCTTATTGTTTATGTTCTATGTCCCATTTGTTTTGTTTTCATTTTATTTCCTTCCTTCTTTTAGTTTAAAATTTTGTCACTGATTTTTTTTCTCTCCTAGCTTGTTTTATTTACTTGTATGTTATCTTATTCTTCAATGATAACTCTAGAAAATACACATGCATCCTTATTATTATGTAGTAAAATTGTCATTATAGCTTCTTTCTCGGTAGCAGAAAGAACTGAAAACACTTTAAGTCTTGTTCTTTTTTGTCTTTTGTGTTATCTTGCCATAAACTTTATTATACACAAATTTTAGATCCAACAAGATATTATCAATATTGTGCAGATTAATGCTGTTTATACATATTCACAGAGTATTTCTTTAATGTTGTTTGTTTGTTCTAGCATTGCTTGTTTCTGCCAAGGATCATTTTTCCTTATTAGAAGAACTCCTTTCCAGAGTGTGTTTAGTGCTTTCCTGCTGGCAAGGAACACTCTGTTTTTATTTTTTTGAATGTCATTATTTTATATTCATTTGAAGAAATTTATCATCCTGGATTCTGAAATCTAAGTATATTAAAATGCCTGTATAAGATACCATTTGCTACTCTTACAGATGGACACAAAATAGACTAAGCTTCAGATACTTTCTTATCTACAATGTTTATGTTGACATTGGTGCTCTAGTTGGTTCTGTATAATTGCTTCTGATACTATGTTTCTTTCTCACTGAAATAGTAGAGCGTTGGAAGGAAAATGCAGTTTACCATTTACGACTGTGTGATCTTGACCAAGTCACTTAGCTTCTCACAGCCAATTCCCTTGTCTGTGAGAAAAGAAAAAAAAAAAAAAAAAAAAAAAAAAACAAAACAAACCAAAAATCTGATATTGGTTTCATTTCACTTGGGGAGTCTGAGTTCTTGTTGGATTGTACATGGAAGTGCTTTGTTAGCAGCTGGAAAGTGTTAGGGCTATTGTGGCTTATTGGAACAGAAACATTTTCAGTGTGGATGTTCAGAATCCTCTTCCATGTGTACACTTCCATAAGAAACCAGGGAATAAATTCTATGTTCATGTGCATATTTATGTATACTCTTCCCTCATGAAATGCCGTGCTAAAAGTTACATAACATATAGCTTATAGACATTCTATCACAAACTCTTTTTTTTTTCTCAAGCAACCATTATGAAAAGGGGAGTCTGGCCATTACATAATTCACAATGCCCATAAGATAAAATAGTCTGATATTTCTCAATACTGAGCTCAGGGAAGACTTTAATGTTCACTTTCTTTATAATGTGGAACCATTACAGACATGTTCCTGACAGCTCATAGGTTACTAGTTGGCATGGTTAATCCACCTCAGCATTGAGCTGATCTCTGATTTTGATCTCCTGCTTCATGATCCCCAAGGGAGAGTTATACATTTTAATGTGAGCCGCAAATAGTTCCCTTTCTACTTGCAAATGGATTCTATTCAGAAAACTAATAAATAATGCCAGCTTCCTTTTCAACATGCACAGTACACACAGAGGGTGGGGCAGACTGATAAATTAAAATTTCATTATGCATACATAACTTTTAAAAAGTACCTTAGGCAGGTAATATGTAGCTGCATTTTGTTTTTCTTTTATAGAAACTAATTTAAAAATTCCCAGCTACATTAATCAAATTTTAGACTCTACTCTGTGTAAACATCTTGCTATTGGAATATTTGTTTTTCCTTTGGAAAAAGTAGTGTTCAGTTCTCTCTCTCCACTTCATCTTTTGATGGTTATTGGATTTGTTTGCTGTGGGGCTACATGCATATGAGTGTGCCTGTGTGTGTGTGTGTGTGTGTGTGTCCCTGTCTGTCTGTCTGTCTGTCTATTTGTCTATTTGTCTGTCTTTTAGGTCCAAGTTTTTCTTGGCAAATATGTAATCTGCAAACAAACTCAAATGGATGTTGGTCATTGTAGCTAACATCTCAATATCTCTGAGGTTTTTTTTATAGTGAACAAATTTTAAATGGGACATTTGTTCTTTGTTTAAATGTTTTGATTTTTGTCTGCAGGTCACTGGCATGTATTTTATATGAGATGTGTTGCATGGATCATGCGTTTGCCGGTTCCAGTTTCTTGTCTGTGGTTTTAAATATTGTCGAAGGCAACACACCTTCACTCCCCGAGGGATTCCCACAAGAACTAAACACCATCATGCAACGGTATGGAAGCAAGTCTGAAACAGAGACCACTGAAATTTCATCCCTGTGTTTGAAATGAACTTAGGTTTTTGTTCATTTGAAAAGTGATTTTTTTTTCAAATATTACAGCATGTTGAACAAGAGTCCTTCATTGAGACCCTCTGCTGTAGAAATTTTAAAACTCCCTTACATCGACGAGCAGCTTCAGGTACTGGAAATGAGAGCGGTCTCGGGGCTATACTGTGGGACTGAGATTCGGCTAAGAATCAGACAGAAAGGAGGAAAGCAGGCTTTAAGTGAAGCCCAGGAACACTGGGAAAATCTGTTTGCAAAGGCTACCTGATGCCACCAGACATGGAGAGTTGGAGCTCTAATTTTCTGCCTAAAAACATTATTATTCAACCAGTGGCTCTGAGATTGACAAATCTTGCCTGAACACTTTGAAATCCACCCCTATTAGTACAAGAATGTACTGCTAATAATATGGAAATCTGGGATTTTTCACTGAACCATTATTATTCCCTGCTTTAGGACAGGATTTAGTATCTTTAATTGACTAGGTCTTTGTTCTTTTCCTTCGAATTAGGGAGCTGGATTATGCAGGCCTGGGGTGTAAGCAGCAAACTGTCCTCTCCAAGGCTTTTATCTTTCACAGACCTGTGAGGCTTTGGCTAACACCTCAGCAAGTTTCCTCTGTTATGAATAACTCTAACAGGTGCCACCAGGTCATCTGTCTTGTAACAGGTGCCTGCTTTTCACCAGTGGGTTAAGATCTAAATCCAGAGGAAGCAAAGATATCAGTATAGTGTGCTCATCCATGAGACACAGTGCTGACCCCAGGGAGGCTGAAAAGAAAGGGCGGGCACAGCCTGTTCTGCTCATATTTGACTGCTAGGGTAAGGATTCGGTAGCCAAAGGAGAGGAGGAAACATGAAAATGATAGCAACAGCCAAGAAGAAAGGAGACCGATGTTGGAAGAAAGAGTAAGGGAGAGAAAAGGGCTCTCTGCTAGTCAGAGGAGTAGACGCCATCTTAACACTGGGAGGAGGAGACAGGCAGTCATGTAAACAGTCTAAGGAGGAGGCTTGAAGAGGGCATCAGATCCCGCAGAACTAGAGTTATTCACACTTTTGATCTGCCATGTAGGTGGAGAATAGCAAGCCAGTGCTCTGGACTGCCGAGCCATCTCTGTAGTTCTACATTATTTCAAAATCAGTATCACCCTGATAGCAAAATATAAAAAAAATGAAAGACAAACTCCAACAAGGCCAAGATTAGCGAGATGCAAGCGGGTATAGTTGCTCAGGTTCAGGGTTGGATCTTGTCTGTAAACATTTGGAATTCTATTCTTCATGGTTTTGGGCATTGATTTGATTTGACAGATGACGCTGTATGTTAAGGAAATACCTCCCCTGCTTGCTGAGGTTTGTGTTACACCCTTAGTTAAGTGTCTCACTTGTCTAGCATCCATCCTGTCAGGGGGAGGGTGGGCACTGTCTATCACAGGCTGAGAGAGAGGTGGGTATTCCTAGGGCTGGGGGAAGGCCTGTAGGTGGCAGGGATGGAGGGAGAAAGAAGAACAAGGTGAAGTTAGAGAAGAAGGCAGGAACCACTTCTGGGGGATCCTCTCACATAACCTGCCATATGACCTTTTGAACCCTTTAGAGAGAAGAAATGGCTGCTTAGGTTTTATCTTAAAGTACTTTGTCCTGGTCAGGCATAACATGGTCAGAAATGGCACACAGTGCCTTTGTGCCATTTCGTTGCTGAAAACTTCAAGGTCATGGTGGTTTTCCTTCATTTCAGCACCTGATGCGCAAATATTCAGAAGTGATGCTGGAAGACAAGAACTCAGTTTGTCAGAAGGACGCTGTTCAGATAATTAATGCCATGTAAGTAATTGCTTTGTTTTTCAAAAACCCACCCCATGTAAATGCTAAGTGCATCAGTCTTTAAAAGTCTATTAGCGCTAAGTTGACTGCATGGGGCATCCTAGAATTCACTTAAGTCTTGCCAAGAAATTAAGAAGCTTCAGTAATGCTGCATTTGAAAGCCATTTGCCCTGGGTGGTAGCAGACTGAAATCCTGAACATCTAAACTTCCTCACAGCTCACTGATCTACAGCGCAGCACCACAGCTGACTGCATGTGAGTGCATAGAGAAATGAGTATTGAGTATCTCAGACATTTTGAGATGTTTATGCTAATGAGCCTCTATCAGAAGCTTAAATGGCTTCATATGGTGTTTATTTAACTGACAGGGTATGTATCTACGGAAAGAACATGTGGTAGACATTTGAAAAAAAGAAGTCAAAATTCATTTTCTTCACATATCATATACTCTCAAAAAACAAAAACAAAAACAAAAACAA